CATATTTGAAATCTTAACTACAAATAGTGTTCACTTTCTTTTTGTGTGGATATATAAATGCTGAAAGGGCCAATATGGTTGTTTCTGGTGTAACCGAAAAACTATTCAACCTGTCTCCGTTGTCTAGCTGTTGGCTGTTGGCATTGGCTTCCAATCAAGCAACGCATTGAGTTCAAGATCCTGACGGTTGTCTACAAGTGCATCCGAAACAAAGCTCCAGTGTATCTCAATTCTCTCATCGTACCCTACCAATCTGCTCGTCCTGGCCTTTGCTCGTTTATTGACAGCACCCTTGAACATACACCAAGGGGTGGGGGGGGGGGGAGGTTGGGGTTAACCCCCCCCCCCCCCTTGAGTTTTTTTATGTATATGTTTTGTGTATGGTTTTTTGAGAACCCCCCTGTTTTTTTATTAATTTTTTTTATAAAAAAAAAATAAAAAAATAATACCAATAGCTGACCTAAAAAAAGGTGACCTTAATCCCCCCCCCCCCTCAACGGAACAAAATATCAAATTTTCAAATTTCAAGACAAAAAAAAAAAAAAAATGTCCTCTTACCCCAATTAAACAATTAAAAAAGTAATTTAACATTATATAATATCTTATCATTTATGTGGACCTCTTGCATAGTCTGCATGCAAGGCATATGCCTTCATCCTGCACTACTTCTCCCTAGCAATGATGTTTTGGATGCTCGTCGAGGGTCTACACCTCTATCGTCAGATCATCCAAGTTTTTGACTCTGGTAATCCTCGAACTTGGGTTTATGGAATCTTAGGATGGGGTAAGATATCACTCACAGCATTTATATGGTGCCATATTTCTGCATTAAAAACTGCATTCTGCATTAAAAATTTAATTCCGTTTCGTTGACGATCAGCCATGCAAAAACAAGACGAAAGACTTGATGCATGGCTGATCGTCAACGAAACGGAGTTAAGTCCTATGTTAACTATGTTGTTGCTATGACAGGCAGCCAGTGAAAACGAATTCGTTTAATAAAATTATGGAAATGCAAGCATTACTTTAAACAAACAGAACGTTGTTATTCCTGGCTCGTTTCCCCTGATCCAGGTGTCATATTAAAAGGCATAAAATGAACTTTCTAGAAATTAGATTTTCTCTTTGAAATTCAGATACCGCCCGCCAAACGTATTTTTGATTCCCTCTCTTCAAATTGTTTTAAGCACTCATGCGTGAAATATGCATCATATGAGTTGCATCAAAAGAAGGAGGAGGATCTAAGCTTTACAAATATGTGCCTTTTAATAAATATGATTGTCATTATTTATGATAAAACATCGATAATTCTTGGTTTCGTTTTTGGGGGACGCACTGTACAATCCAGATATTCAAATCTGTTTATTGGCATTTTACGGTAGGGTAAGTTCAAATGAAAGACGGTTTTATTAGACAACGCTGCTAGAGGCAAATCAATACCCACTGGTACTTCAGATTAAGCTAATGATCAATCTTTACAGTGATTGGCTTGTTAAAGTAATATAATTTGGCTTTAATTTAACCTATACAGTGCGTCCCAGAAAAAACGAAACCGAGAATTATCAATGTTTTATCTAAATTTAATTATAATTGATAAATGACACATATTTGTTAAGCTTAGATCCTCCTCTTTCATTTGATGCAACTCGTATAATCCATTTTTTACGCATGAGTGACTTAAATGAATTTGAAGAGAGAAAAACAAAAAGTCATTTGGCGGACGGTATCTGAATTTCAAAGAGAAAATGACATTTCTAAAAAATGAGTTTCTGCCCTTTCATACGACGCCTCAGTCAGGAAGAATGACCTAGGAATAACAAAGTGCTATTTGTTTAAAGTAGTGCTTGCATTTCCATAATTTGATTAAACGAATTTGTTTTCACTTGCTGTCTGCTGTAGCAACAAACGGAATTAACAAAAGACTTAACTCCGTTTCGTTGACAATCAGCTGTAGAAAAAAGACTTCATGCATGGCTGGTTGTCAACGAGACGGAGTTAAGTCTTTTGTTAATTCTGTTTGTTGCTACGGCAGGGAGCCAGTAAAAACGAATCATCGATAGTTCTCGGTTTCGTTTTTTGGAGACGCAGTGTATAATCAAACTATCACATCCGCCATTTGCAATCATCATCATCAACTTCAGGTGGCGCTGTAAAGCGCTGCTGTAGTCTTCACGAGAGCACGCCATGCCATGCACGCCAACTCTTTCGCCTGTCATTTGTGTTGCACCTTTCATTCCTTGTCCAGACACTTTCTTGATATCATCAGTCCAAGATATTTGTGGACGACCTCAACCCCGTTTTCTTTCGACTGCTCCTTGCAGTATTTGCTTCTCAACACCTTCAGATATCCTAACAATGTGCCCAAAAATAGTTTAGTTTTCTTTCCTTAATTCCCCTTCTGATGGTCAAGTCTGTTCCAATCTTTTCCAGGACCCACACACTTGTCTTTTTATCTTTCCATGACACCCGCAACAGCCTCCTGTAGCACCACATTTCAAAGGCATCAACTCTCTTTCTGTCATTCTTTGTCATGGCCCATGACTTACTCCCGTAAGTCACAATAGAGAAAGAAGTTGCTTGAAGCAGACAAACCTTCAGACTGAGAGATAGGCCTCGGTTCTTCCAGATGTGAGACATATTCTGTACTGTTGATCTCGCCATTGCCATCCTTCTCCTTATCTCTGTGGTGCTCTCTCCTTTGTTAGTGATGATTGAACCCAAGTACTCAAACCGATTTACTACTTTAATCTTATTTTCAGCTACGGTGAAGTCAGTGTTATTATCATCTCTATCGACAACCATTATTTTTGTCTGTTTGGTGTTTAGAAGTTGGTCTTTCCCTTCACTTGCCTGTCTGATGCGATTCAACAAATCCATCAGCTCTTCTCTGCCGCTGGAAACGAGAGTAGTGTTGTCAGCATACCTTAGGTGCGTGATGTTTTTACCTCAAAATTTGACTCCCCCATTGAATCCTTCCAGAGCATTTCTCATAATGTCCTCAGAATAAATGTTAAAAAGGTTCGGAGACAGTATGCATCCTTGACGTACTCCCATACCAATTCCAAACCACTCAGTATTGCCGTTACTGGTTCTTATTGTTGCTTCTTGGTCATGATAGAGGTTTTTGATCATTTCGATGATGTGACTTGGGAACCACATCTTTGCCATTGTATTCCACAATTGAGAGTGGCTCACACAGTCAAATGCTTTGCTATAATCTATAAAGCACAAATAGAGGGGATGTCTGTGTTCTCTGCATTTCTCTATTATGTTTCTAATGTTGACGATCTGTTCTCTTGTCCCTCTACCTTCACGGAACCCTGCTTGCTCATGTGAGATCTCGGCTTGCAGTTTGATTTTCATTCTTCTGCTAATCACCTTAAGAAGTTTTTTGCTTGCATGACAAATCAAGCTGATCGTTCGGAGATTTGCACATTCTTTCAGATCTCTCTTCTTTGGCAATGGTATAAAAACAGCTGTACACCAGTCCTTAGGCCACTCCCTACTATTCCATATATTGCAACAGAGACGCCACATCAGGTCAGTACCTTCTTCACCTGTAGCCTTCCACATTTCGGAAGTCAAGTTGTAGAAGCCACGGGATTTGCCATATTTCAGTTGTTTCATTGCAAGCTCCACTTCTGATCTTAATGGAGGGGGCTCCATTTCATCACCTTCCTCCCACTGAGTGTCAACTTGTTCCTGCGCAGGAAACATGTCTTCATTTTCCGTCAATGTTTTGCCATTGTCATCATTAATTACATCCAGTCTTGGGATTCTTTTTTGTGATTTCTTTCACATTTGCAAATGCTGCCTTTGAGTTGTTCTTGTGACGCTCTAGGTCTTCACACTTCCCCTCGATGTATTTCCTTTTGTCCTCCTTCACACTACTTGTAACTGCCTTATGGAGTCTCGACCATTCTCCTCTATTGTGTTTTGCTTTTGCTCTCTTCCTGTCATCAGCAATGTCGAAAGTCTGATTTGAGATTCATGGTTGTTTCCGCTTTCTTTTCTTTGGAATGTGGTTCTTTGCTGCATTTTCAACTGTTTCTTTCATGTCCTACATAGCTCATTCGGTGTTTGCTCTGCTTCATCGTTTCTCAAAGCCGCTTAAACTTGTTCTTTACTTCCACTAATAATTGAGAAGGGATATTTCAAACATCATACCTTGTGGGAGCTGAATCACATTTCTTAGCTTTCAGTCTTAGTCTCAGTTTAGCCACAAGCAGCTGATTATCAAAACACTACTCTAATTTGCAATATACCATACTATTTCCTTCTTTCGAAGGTGGTCCATCCGTGATACTCATCATAACTGGAGGCGTAAAGCATCAAAGCTATGGCTATGAACAAAGGTGAGTATAATGTTATTTAAAAAACTCTCATTATTAATATATATGATAGTCCACGGAAATCAGTTGCATTGTAATATCATAGTTCAAGTGTCAAATATTTGCAATGGTACCCACAATTAATGCAATGAATTTAAACTTTTGCATAATTGAAGTAAATGTTTTATCTTTATCAATCCGATTTAAAATACAGTTGCTGGCTGAATCCAACAGATGGGACAATCTGGGCATTCACCGGGCCGGCTATGGCAATCGTACTTGTAAGAAACTCGTAATTAATATTGTGCGATTTGTTTATTTGTTATTTTGGGTTTTTTAGTATGCGGTGTTTTATTTATTTTTTTCATTTTGGTCTTACGGAAGCTTGGAAAGCCTGGATATTAGTTTGATGTCCCTTTTCTGACGAGTTGGGTAATTTCCTCCAAAATACTGATATGAGAAGATAGAGTAGTGTTTTGCGCATTATCTTGTTGTTTGACACCACCTTTTATAATGGTTCAATTTTGCATTTTAAATTGTACAATAGCACCACTCTTAAACAAAGTCTACAATTTTCCTCTCAATTGAAACTAAGCAGCTTTTTCAATTCACAAGCTGCAACTTTTCAAAAATCAAAAATCTGCCGTATTTGGATATATACTACGTAAGATGCAAACGGTGGAAGTACTGCAAATGCGCACTTAAAAAAATGAGTTTACATTATGAAATAGAAGTTCACTGTTGCAAATGCTCGTTATATCTGTTTGATTGCAACTCCTATTGTTCAGTGAGTAAAGGAGATTTTTCAAAGGAAAATAGGCATATATTTAATCCAAATACAAATCTCGTTAAGTTTCATATTTTATGCTTATCTTAATTGTTAAGACCTACGTTTTTATATCGTCGCATCGTGATATCTGAAAACAATTTTTATTCTACGCATGATTGCCGGCAAAAGAAAACCAAGTTAACTATCGACAATTCCTTATTACTGAAATGTCAACGTTTGAAGCTTGCCTTGTGTCTGCGATGATATTGATTAGAATCTCATCATTAGCAGAAAAATTATCAAAAATGTATAATTTATTTTACACTTCTAGGTCAACGTAGTTATTCTCCTACTGGTTGTAAAGACAGTTGTCTCTGCATCTCGAGGTCAACTTGACAACGATAAGATCAAGCAAATCAAGTAATAACCTAATTACTTTTTAAGAAATGTTTTCATTTACGATATATTCTTGTTTTACCCTTTGTCTCGATTACGTAAATGTTCAGAAAGTATTTTTTTCGGAGTAAATCATCTACATTATGTATACTTACTTATAAATTATTATGAACGCAGGTTACCGCCTCTATATTCAGTTCAAAATTCCTTCTTCATGTAAATTTTGTCAAATCATTTTGTTTTTATTCAGAGCTGATCTTTGGAGCCCTCCGTTTCTCCTCGTATTGCTTGATATACATCGGTTATTGACTCATTAATCGTTGAGGAATGTATGTGAGTGTGTATGTAGATTTTTGTGGGTTTGGAAGGGTGTGAGCGTATTTGTGTGTATGTATGTGGTGTGCGCGTTTGTGTGTGTGTGTGTGCGTACGTGTGTGTGTATGTGCGTGTGCGCGCGTGTGTTTGTGTGTGTGGTTTTTTGATAGGTGTGTGTGGGTTTGGATATATGTGTGTATGTTTGGGTTTGGATAGTTGTGTGTGTCGGTATTTTGTTAAACTTGTGTATAAATTTGGATAGGTGCGTGTGGGTTACAATGTTTTTGTATATGTTTGTAAAAAATCACTGTGTAAATTCTGTTTGTCACTGCTTTGCAGAGCTGGACTTCGGAGCACTTTGTTGCTCTTCCACCTACTTGGTATCGCTTGGCTATTGACACCTGTAGTGGCAGTGTTCCCTCACGTCAAGGCGTTGGAATACACCTTCAACCTGCTCAATTCTCTTCAGGTATCTTCTAATATCAGTGCTAACCTGGCGTTGTAATCCAACACTATGATGTCAGTGTCATGATGATTTTATTTTTCAATGTAAACAAAATGGAAACTAAAAGAAAGAAAGAGAGGGTGGGGCCGATGAAACGAAGATAACCCTACCTTTTCTTTAAAGAGAAGGTTGAGTTCTTTGGCTCTGTAGAAGTGAAAACAAATAATTTGAAATATTCAACATACCATTTCACAATAAGGGAAAATATCATATTGAAAATCTTGAAAAACCATCAAATTCCTAATAACTAAATATATCATAACTTTGGACAAAAGTTTGATCCTACTATTAAATTTCTGTAGTGCCGTACCATGTTTTTGTGCACTGATTTTCCATCTGACAAGAATTTTCGTTTGTTATTTTCGAAAAACCTCACAGGCAATCAACGCAGATTAGGTCCTAGATAATTTCTGCCTTCTTGATGTAATGGTCTGCTCAGTACTCAAATACGATTTTAACCATACACGGGCATATGTGTCTTCAACATTTTTACTTGTATTTTTTAAATTTGTTTTACTACTACGAGACGTTCATATCTAAGTTTAGTGCTGTGCATGTATCGTACTAACGTAGATAATTTCTGTTGTATCCTTGCAGGGGTTCTTCGTCGCATGGCTCTATTGCTTTCTCAATTCGGAGGTATGTAATGAAATCATAGCTGGCATCAGACATTCAAAACAATTTTATTTCGGGAAATTTGCTCTGTAAAGAAGTAAAGATGGGCCAAAAGTGTAAACCTTACGCCCCACAATATGCTGCTTGTAATTCATGTTTAGTGTATAAAGGCAAGTTAATTTCATCGTGTATTTTGTATTAGAAGTAGGCTATATATAAAAAATAATATTCGAATGTTGATCTCCCAACCGCCTATTTAAAGAAAGAAATTCTTCAAAACTGCGAGTGTCCGATAGTCCATAGTAAATATGTGCAACTCCTCGAAACAGGCAGGACAAACAGTGCACACGACATGGCGCTTCCGATTTAGCCTTTAACATTAAATCAAACAGAAAGTCTCTATTATTGTGATTTTGTATTATTACAACAGGTTCGAAACGCCATCAGAGAACATGTTCGCAAATCTCGTGAAAGCAGGGCTTCGATCACCAATCCCAGTACAGTTTCAACAACTGAAGTAAATAAAGTTTAATTTTACACTCTATCTAATTATGCAATAATTATATTTTTTTCTTTCTATTGCAATAATTATATAATATTGACTGGCCTTGAGGGGTATATCAGAAATATTGACCAAGCTCAGATCATATTGCCCCGAGTCGAAAGACGAGGGCAATATGGTCTTAGCGCGGTCAATATTTCTGATATCCCCCGAAAGTAAAGCCAGTCAATATTTGTATTGTTATCCAAATCAGACATCTAGAGCAAATACAGAAATCCACCATGACAATCTCAAGAACTGAACAAACTTTGTCAAACCAGCACTGTGCATCTAGCTAGTGCTTGACACAATTTTCGATACACTGCAAACAGTGTGCATTTGGTGTGATTATTACGTCACAATAGAGTGCGCGCAAAGTGCGCAGGTTCTCCTACGCATAATAGATGCGCAATTAAAATGACAAAATACGGCGCAGTCAATACAAGATGCCCGGAGGCGAGACCGTGGAAAATACCAAGGTATATTTTCACTCGTCTCTACACGCAAAATCAATACGCGCAGGGAGACCAAGGAAAATACAAAGAATATACCCCTTTATATACCTCACTTAAAAAATCCAGCCATCTGATTGGTCGAATTGCATTCATAAACTTCAACTGTTCCTGTAAAATTCTCGGTAACCATGCATAAAACATTTCAATATTTTTAATAACCATGGTTATTAAAAAAAGTTGGTCAGCCTCCATGGTTACCCCATAGGTTTACATGTTAAAAAATGGTTTGAGCGATGGAGGATGCCGTATGTGTGCGAAGGATTGGTCGGTAATTTCAATACAATTGAATCTCGATCGATCTTACCGACAATTTTATCTTGCATTGTTGACATGAAGACGAAAATAAACTTCCAAAAACAAAAAAAACAACATCTGCCGATAGATCTTGATCTAAGTTCGTGCCAATATGCATTGCAAAAGTAAAAGAAGAGTCCGTATATGGAGCTTTTGCGAAGCATTCATCACACGCGAAGCCGGTTTCAATCCATTTTAATGTATATATTGGAGAAAACTGCCAAGCATGTTAACGGCGGGCCATAGCCGAGTGGTCTAAGCGTTGGTTTTCGGTACACCTCTTGTTGTACGCAAGAGTTCGAATCCTGTCTTCGACAAAAATGATAAATATTTTTAATTTTTCATTTTTTAGTCTATTTTTTTTCGGCATATAAAAGTATTAATGACTGCTTTAATATTCGAGAAATAGTTGTTTTCATACGCTCTCGGGAAGGTTACAATTGGGCTATTCCCCTCGGCAAGCTTCGGGGAATAGCACAATTCTAACCTTCCCTTGAGCGTAATAAAACAACTATTTCTCTCAAAGCAGTCATTAATACTATACCGTTCCCACTGCTAGTGAAAACTAGGGCAATACGGTTTTGTAAATGACCAGCTCAGATGTCTGATACGGGTAATAATTATATAATATTGACTGGCCTTGAGGGGTATATCAGAAATATTGACCAAGCTCAGATCATATTGCCCCGAGTCGAAAGACGAGGGCAATATGGTCTTAGCGCGGTCAATATTTCTGATATCCCCCGAAAGTAAAGCCAGTCAATATTTTTATTGTTATCCAAATCAGACATCTAGAGCAAATACAGACATCCACCATGACAATCTCAAGAACTGAACAAACTTTGTCAAACCAACACTTTGCATCCAGTGCTTGACAAAATTTTTGCTACACTACAAACAGTGTGTATTTGGTTTGATTATTACGTCACAATACAGTGCGCGCAAAGTGCGCAGGTTCTCGTACGCATAATATTAATAGATGCGCAATGAAAATGCGAGACCGTGGAAAATACCAAGGTATATTTTCACTCGTCTCTACACGCAAAGTCAATACGCGCAGGGAGACCAAGGAAAATACAAAAAATATACCCCTCAGTTCCCACTGCTAGTGAAAACTAGGGCAATACGGTTTTGTAAATGACCAGCTCAGATGTCTGATACGGGTAATAATAGACTATATCTGCCCAGTGTTTTTGTACGCGCGTGTGTAACCGCTCGATGCTGATTCGAACAAATCGCGCATCGAACATAATTTTTTTTTTTTTTTCTGGAGTGGGGGGGGGGGGGGGGGGGCGTTTATTATACGTTATGATGCTAGAAAAAGGGAAACAATACTGGGACAATTTTAGTCTGATTAATGTTTTTTATGAGCCTCGAAATGTTATCTTTCGCGTGAATTAGTGTGCTGGTATGAGAATCTTTGTTTTTTCAGTGTTAACTGAAAATGCAAGAAAGAGGGGAAAAATATTGGGAAATTTAAAGTCTCTTTAATCTTATTCATGAGCCTCGAAATGTTTATCTTTCGCGTGAATTATTGTGCTGGTATGAGAATCTTTGTTTGTACAATGTTAACTGAAATGACACGGCCCCATTGTCTTGTGGCACTTCTCTCATGAGTTTGCTGGGGCGAATGAATAACGACGTTTTGTATAACAAAGGCGTTTGTCAAGTGAAATGCTGCTCCCCAAATTGAATGAGTGAAAATTGGCATTGTATGGTTGATTCATATGAAAAAATATGTTGGCTATATTCAAATGTAAAATTGTTATATTCACAAACAAACGTGTGTGGAGGTGTCGTGTTCTTTCATAGTATTATTATTGTTTTATTATTCAGGATCTAATAATATGCATTTTTATCAGGTGGGCTGTATAACGTACAGACCACCTTATAATTTCGTTAGAATTGCCTTTATTTATTATTATATATTTTTCTTATTTCTAACCACTTTTTTGTGAACAAGATAACTTGGAAATGGCTCAATCAAATGCCTAGAAATTTGGCACACATATGTATAGACATATGTACAAAGCACAATAACGTTTTCAACATTGACCTTCACTGATGACGTCATCTAGGCGCCATTTTGTAAAATTTTACGAAAATCAACTCATGATCATATCTTCATAACCAAAAGGTATTTCTCGTTCATATTTATCATGATCAAGGTCAATATCCGTCCGGTCAATAAAAGGTCAAATAACGCGCGCGTGCGCGTACGTCCGCGCGTCAATGCGCGCGCAAAATTTTGAAATGCTCAAAATCGTCTGAAAATCATTTTGCATACGTTTTAGGCCATTCTAAGCATTTTATAAAAAATCGCGCGTACGAGCATGCGCGCGCGTTTTCGCGCGTAAAACTTTTGCACAACATTGAATTGCCTTTTTTTTTTCTTTCATAATATACCACATATATTTACAAACATATTGATACCATGTTTGTCTCTTTATGACTATTAATAACGGAATGATCGACCGTTTAACATAAATCTCCATGCGCGCGAGCTCTTGTAATACATAGCATATATGGGCAAAAACACGCCTATACAAAATCCATTGTAGCTCTTTAGGATGCAAGGTGACCCCAATTTGTTTTCATATTTTAAAAGAGTATGATTCGGAAATATTGTTTCATGTCTCATTTGACCCTCAATTAACTCATGACGTCATCATAATGGCCTCCGAACTCAAAATTCCAATTTGCATATTATGACGTCAGCATATTTATGGAAAATTGATTGTATCTCTGTAAATATTGATCAATTTTCTTCCAAATTTTAATATGTTCTAGCTGAGACAAATTTCTACAAATGCAGTCAGTACTATTCTTCATTTTGACAAAGGTATCATGGCGTATTTTTGCGATTAAAGGAGGCATGTCAATTTTTCACATTTTGCGTGTATTCTCTATGGGACATGACTTTTTCTCAAAACTCGATTCTACATTCCCGTCTTTCGCGGGCAACATCTACGTCATTTTAGCTTCATTTACGCTGAACTTCGAGTATGATGTAGCTGAGACAATTAGCTATCTCAAATGTGCCCTTCATTTTGTCTAAAATGTTAGCTGGACCAGCCCACCTATACTTGTACCAAACAAGTATTACAAATCTAGTATATTTTTCTTATTTCTAACCACTTTTTTGTGAACAAGATAACTTGGAAATGGCTCAATCAAATGCCTAGAAATTTGGCACACATATGTATAGACATATGTACAAAGCACAATAACGTTTTCAACATTGACCTTCACTGATGACGTCATCTAGGCGCCATTTTGTAAAATTTTACGAAAATCAACTCATGATCATATCTTCATAACCAAAAGGTATTTCTCGTTCATATTTATCATGATCAAGGTCAATATCCGTCCGGTCAATAAAAGGTCAAATAACGCGCGCCTGCGCGTACGTCCGCGCGTCAATGCGCGCGCAAAATTTTGAAATGCTCAAAATCGTCTGAAAATCATTTTGCATACGTTTTAGGCCATTCTAAGCATTTTATAAAAAATCGCGCGTACGAGCATGCGCGCGCGTTTTCGCGCGTAAAACTTTTGCACAACATTGAATTGCTTTTTTTTTTCTTTCATAATATACCACATATATTTACAAACAAATTGATACCACGTTTGTCTCTTTATGACTATTAATAACGGATTGATCGACCGTTTAACAAAAATTTCCGTGCGCGCGAGCTCTTGTAATACATAGCAAATATGGGCAAAAACATGCCTATACAAAATCCATTGTAGCTCTTTAGGATGCAAGGTGACCCCAATTTTTTTTCATATTTTAATAGAGTATGATTCGGAGATATTGTTTCATGTCTCATTCGACCCTCAATTAACTCATGACGTCATCACAATGGCCTCCGAACTCAAAATTCCAATTTGCATATTATGACGTCAGCATATTTATGGGAAATTGATTGTATCTCTGTAAATATTGATTGATTTTCTTCCAAATTTTGATATGTTCTAGCTGAGACAATTCTCTACAAAGGCAATTGCTATTATTTTTCATTTTGACAAAGGCATGGCGTATTTTTGCGATTAAAGGAGGCATGTAATTTTTTTACATTTTGCGTGTATTCTCTATGGGATATGACTTTTTCTCAAAACTCTATTCTACATTCCCGTCTTTCGCGAGCAATATCTACGTCGTTTTAGCTTCGTTTACGCTGAACTTCGAGTATGTTGTAGATGAGACAAAAAGCTATCTCAAATGTACCCTTTATTTTGTCTCAATTTTTTGTTGGATCAGCCCACCTATACTTGTTCCAAACAAGTATTACAAATCTAGTTTTTATTGCAATCATATATGGTTACTTTGTACTTCTCTTCTTTTTCTTTTTTTTTGGCGGGGGGGGGGGGGGGGATATTTCTTTGTTATTATATTTATGTTATTTACCATTTTGTTTTGTTATCTACCATTTTGTTTTGTTATCTACCACTTTTGTTTTGTTATCTACCATCTTGTTTTGTCAGGGAAGTGCAGCTAAGCCTGGTATGAGGTTGATCCGAGTCGCTCCAGCTCCAGCAGCTCCAACACAAAACCAAGCCGGTGTCTCTAGTCACTCAACCTAAGGCCTATAAGCAGTAACACCACGTCCTTATAAGAGGTGCCCTAAATGAGTACCTCGAATATGTGATTGAGCATATGAAGGTTGCGGGTACGAGCTCCTACAAAGCAACGATGTCCTCTTTAAAGACATTGATCTACATTTGTCACGCAACACCCGGATTTACTATATAAGTGGGTAGGCCTACCTACAGTAGATTGATTTTTTAAATTAAATTCACTGTGCGGTGATGATCGTTACTGGTGACAATATTTCCAAAGTCTTTAGAAAGCGAATAAAGACATTGTATCATAAAGTACAACATATTTGTTGCAATTAGTGTTATGCGGTAGTTGTTTGTACGGTAATCTTTTCATGATTTTGATTGGAGGTTTAGTTATTTAGCGTTTTTATTCAGTTTGAGTTCTTTGATTAACTTTTTCTTTTGAACTTGTTGTTTAATTCAATTTACGAGAGGTTAATGTAATAATTACGGTATGTTTTGTAATCATTTATTTGTCTACTTCTCTATAACATTTCTGAGCCGAAGCTATAATTTTGATTTAATCATTGTTATGTCTTTGGAGTCTTTTTTTTTCTCCAGTCTTTAAACATCTTCTGGATATTTTCAACGGAGTTTCTTTAAAAATTGTTTGTATAATATAATATAAAATATGAAGTATTTATTCTTTAATGTATTCGTTCTCCTAGTGTCTTTAATTACTCGCCTGAAACCCACTAAGCCTATGTTTATATTTACTTCCTTTACCATGTTTTTTAAACTTCTATATACCGGTCAACCTGTATGATTTTAGACATTCTTGTCATTGCGCTACTACATGTTCTCATATTTTGTTCTTTTCTTAGTTTTATACTTCATGGTTTCAGTTTACCTACTTGACATTTCATGCAATAGTTTTTAAGTCAGAATTAATTCCTCATGTTTATGTTTAGTATCGTGTCATGACCTAGTATCATCAAAAAACAAAAAATAAATAAAACAATTGATTGTTGTACATGTGTAATATAGGCAGCGGCGTAAATCCGTACCGAGGAGTGGGGGGGGGGGGGGGTGATCGGCGATAGCCATCACATACTAGCATGAGCACACGCCCACACAAACGCACACACCACCACACACATGCACACACACAAACGAACAAACAACATACAATATTAGACAAAGAAGACTATTCGTTTTTCCGTTCTCGACTTTTAATCCTCATCTGAATTCAGTTTTTCCCTTCCCCCCTCCCGCGTGAAGCGCGAAAGCTTTTACGTTTCATTAAATCATTAGAGAAAGAAGACGATTCGTTGTTCCGTTCTCAACTTTTAATCCTCATCTGAATTCAGTCCCCCCCCCCCTCCCGCGTGAAGCGCGGAAGCTTTTACGTTTCATTAAATCATTAGAGAAAGAAGACGATTCGTTGTACCGTTCTCGACTTTCAATCCTCATCTGAATTCAGTTTTTCCCTTCCCCCCTTCCCTCCCCCGCGAAGCGCGGAAGCTATTACGTTTTATTAAATCATTAGAGAAAGAAGACGATTCGTTGTACCGTTCTCGACTTTTAATCCCCATCTGAATTCAGTTTTTCCCTTCCCCCGCCTGCGCGAAGCGCGGAAGCTTTTACGTTTCCATAAATCATTAGAGAAAGAAGACGATTCGTTGTACCGTTCTCGATTTCTAATCCCCATCTGAATTCAGTTTTTTCCTTCCCCCCTCTCTTCCTTCCCGCGCGAAGCGCGGAAGCTATTACGTTTCATTAAATCATTAGAGAAAGAAGACGATTCGTTGTACCATTCTCGACTCTTAATTTCTTTAAAAAGGGGGTGGGTTTTTTCTGTCTCTCTTTGGACTCCTGAGAAATGTAAAAAGGAGGTTATAAAATATCTTGAATATTATAGAAAAATTGATCAAATCCCGGGATCAAATTCATTTTGAATAGTAAAAGCATTGGCCCCCAGTCCCCCGCGATCGACTAGAGCTCACCTGAAATTGGGGGGGGGGGGAGGGGGGGGGGGGGGGTGTGGTACATTTAGCAGTGTTCCGGATTTTTTTTTTTTGGGGGGGGGGAGAGCCGGGTATCTACTGTACATGATTGCGCCTTTTAAGCGCTGGCGCACTTTACGCCTGGGCTAAAATAATACCTTGCAAAATAACGAAAAATTATTCTGAAGTTTATGAAGTGCTTGTTCGCGCAAGTCGCGCAACTACTCTTAATGATCGTGACATACTGTATACGTGTAGGCTGTACAGTTATACATACATTAAAAAAATTACTCATTTCTCATGCATTAAAATTGAAACAACCACATTTTTTCTTCTTCTTCTTCCTTTTTTTCTCTCATTTTTTTTGTAATCTCAGGGGGGGGGGGGATATTATTTGTACAGGCCATCCCCCCCCCCCTCCTTCGAGCCAGGGGGGATGCAGCCCCCCCCCCATCCCCCCGGGATTTACGCCCCTGAATATAGGCAATGGCGAGCTTGCAACCTATTTTGATCAATTTACGGTGGGTGAACTTTCAAAAGTCAATTGGACATGAGGGTTCCAATGAAAGAGCTAGTTCATTTTCAGTTCAGTTTATTCATTTTCGCACTGCACCAACTTCAGCCAAAGGCTGTTCTTCTGTAGGTCCATACGCAATTTAAAAATTACATGTACAATTATAACATAACGCATATCATAGCATATGAAATATAAAAAAAGGAAAAAAAGAAAGACAAGAACACAAGTATAAAAAAAAAAGAGGAATATGTACGAACCAAGATACCACTACCCCCCCCCCCCCCCGTCGGCAATAATTCTTCCCAAACAGCGTTTATTTAAGATTTTATAGTTATATAAGTAGATATTTAAGCGTCGGGGTGGATGTGCTTTTCGTTTAAAAAAAAAAAAAAAATTGTTAACGATTTTTGTGTGTAAAAGTCCATACGCTAACGTACATGTTAGGTAGCTGGACTCTGCCGCTAGGGGGTGTTCTCAAATGAGACTAAACGGAGCTATATGTACGTGTATAAAAAGGTTGCTAATTATATCATAGGTTTTACGGCCAATTTCGCAAATTTACCTGTCTAATTTATTGTCTTATTTCGTGTTGTTAGGTAGGTCAGCAAGTTAACATTTGTCCTACCTAGCAACGACTTATGTATGAAGTTTGAATTCTGGCTCTTGAAACACATTTGTTTGTAACAGGTAAATGGAATAATTCGTAATGAGGCACCTAACAAAGACTTATGCATTAAATCTGAAGACATTACGAAAATGGCCTATTGAATGAACGTTGTATCAAATAGACTGAAAAAGCATCGAAATTAGTCGGAAAACTTTTAATAAAAATAGCAGCTTTTTCTAAGAAAGTATGAAAATTAAAGTTCCATTTTCCAAAGCACCATATTTTGCTTAACATGTAAAATTGTAGTCTAATAGTTTTGTTAGGAAGAAATAAAGAAGTAAACAAATTCTTTTCTTTGAATGCTGTGTGGTTGATGCTTATTGTTAGATCATGTCATACGTAATGAAGCTAACAAGAGAAATTTAATTACCGAATTGTCATTAATAATTACTGTACAGGTATATCATTGCATTAATAATAAACCGAATTTTGATTTATTTCTTAATGAATAACAAAAATGTCATAGTGGTTCATGTTTAAACAATGCTTATAAGAAATAATGCAGTCCCGTTTCCAGGATCTGTTCATGTCGGAAATGTCTGACAATTGAGTTTGCAAATGTGTTTTTTCGAAGTTTTCAGAGGGTAGAAGTTACGTACAAATCTACGAAAGTATGCACAATTTCTTTTCGATTGTTATTTTAAGGACTATCTAGACAAATTTGGGAGAAGTAATAATTATCACCTAGGATAGCAGAGACAGGTAGGCTGAAAGAAAGGCATGTAAATGGCCCAAGAATTGACAAAATGGCTCCTGAACGGACATGCATGAGTGATTTTTTGAGGAAAATAAGTTTTGTGGGATGCTATGACGCTACATTTTTTCTGCTTTCACACTAAAGAACTTATTATACATGTAGAGGTTGGATAAGAAAATCAGTTTCCCGATTCATATTTTATGTCCTATGTGGTGTTCTCAATGTCCAGCAATAAACTTACACTTAGTCCTATCCCATCCACATGAACTGTTTCATAACTAGTTTTTTATTTGCTAATAAAACTCGCCTCTCTTTCAAAGTATGCATGGCGGCTGTGTTAGACACGGAGAAAGGGGTGTGGGAGAGAGAGTATGAGGGTGGAAAGAGGGGTGCTGGAATGAGATGGAAGTAAGAGGAAAGTGTGACGTGTGAGTGAAGTTGTTGGAACGAACGAGGGGTAGGTTTAAGGACTTTCAGAAGTTGTGTTGATGCTCATCTTAGCTTGTAGGGCCAGCTTATTACGTATTTACTTTAATAGTCGATATCGATCCTGAACTAATCTCAATAGACTGTTGCTCTTAAAATGTATTATATCATGTATAAAAAATTATTGGCTTTTGGTTGGCTGAGAGCTCGTCACGTGACCAGACGTATTTCAACTAATTTAAGGTTGCTCTGAAAAAGTACTATTTGGGAGAAAAGTACTATTTGGGAGTTGCCCTTTTTCATAATCTTAATTTAGTAATTTTCTTATATTTTTAAATTCTTTTTTAATAGAATTTTTTGAAATTTTAATTTTTTGAAATTTCAATACACATTTTGTGTGTGTGTGTGTGTGTGTGTTTGTCTTTTTTTTTACAATTTTGATGCAGGATTTAAAACAAATATGCCATGCCCTTTTTTCGAGGAACTGATTAAAACTGTGGGCCTCGGCGACTCCGATAGTACCATTTGCTTCGGGACTACGCCCCTCAGCAAAGAGTACTATGGGAGTCACCTCTTGCGCATACTTTTAACCAGAACCTCTCAAGACAGTGTTGAAGGCAGTTGAAGATTCAACGATAGTACGGGATTTCAGATGCCTCCAGCGGGCAACTCCCAAGATATTTCACAGCGCTCACGCCGTGCCGTTTCAGGCCATCGTTCCGAAACATCAATCAAAAACTATGTTCGTACGCCTACTATTATAGCAAACAAGGCGTGAAAACTTGAAACTCTTTCTAAATTCATCTTCGACTCATTATTGCACATAGCCATGCCAAATTTCTGGGAATCGGCTTTCTTTCTGTGGTCGTATCTCTATTGTG